AGGGAAGCCCCTATTAGCCCCAAATCAAAACAATCTAGTTGGTCAGTGGTAAGGAGGTAGTCTAGTTAATTATCAAATATCAAAATGATAGAACACCATGCGGCTATGGAAAATGTATACAATGCATATTGACGTGGAGCAATGTTCACAATTTTGTGAAACAGAAAAAGCATGCTAAAATCAAAATATGTTTTTATGTTAGATAAATACATATGTGTAAATTTAAATATATAAATATGCCTAAGAAAATATGCATCTTCAGATATTTGTAAAGGGCAACTTTTTTCTTCATCCTTCTCCTTATCTGAATTTTCTGATTCTGGTCTATGATGTAGGTGAATTACTTCTGAAATAAACATATAAAAATGGACATAATAAAAAAAAATCTTTAGTATCTACATAGTTTTTCTAAGAAAAAAATGTCCCTTTAATTATCTATAGCTGCTAGGTTAAACAGGAAATCCTTGTGAGTTAATATTGGGATGATGATGATAAGTAGAAATAGAGAGGAATTATTTATTCTCAAGAAGTCATCTGATTAGCATTTTTCATGTTCTCATATATCTGTTAGATTTTTTTTTAACTAAATAGTTCTTCCAATAAACACTAAAAGTCAAAAAGCCAATACTGAGATTTTTCTCCATCTATGCATCTGATTCTTAGACGTATTGCCTTTTATTTTAGATCAAAGCATCAAAATTGTCTTTGATCCAAAGCAACCATGTAGCCCCAGCATTTACATCTGAAGTCAACCTATTTATAATTACAGATTTTTTTAAATCCCTGATTTTCTTTTTATCCCTATCATGCAGAGTGTCAGTGACAGTATGACTTGGAGAGCAACAGCTCTTTGTTTTGGAAGCAGTCTTCTTTATGGATACAGGAAATTGAAAATGTGAACAAACACCACCAGCTAGTCAGTCAGCATTGTGAAGGCTGGGGCTTTGAAGGTACAATTAGGGAACTGGTTTTTCCCTTAACAGAAGTATGTTCACTAAGTAATTTGCTTTCTTTTAACTAGAGTTACCCCCTTCCATTAACTGGAGAAGTAAGTCCAGATTAAAATCACTATTCATCAATTGCCTGCTGGAGGCACACTCAAGCCTTGTGTTAGGACTAAGGCAATAAAGCTCATCAACTAGCATTTTAATCATTGTTACCTCAGAGCTCTCAGAAGGAATAATTTGGGGTAGGGGAGAAAGTGGAAACTCCTAGTTACTGCTGATGTGAAATCAGATATTTCTGAGGATTTTAAATTTACTGAATCATTCATTTTTTCAGTGGATTTCTATTTTTTCCTCGTTCAGTGAGTACTTGCTAGGCACGCGGGATACAGTGGTGAATATAATGACATGGTCCCTATCTATATACAGCTTACATTCTAAGGGAGGGAACATTAATACATGAGAAATCATAATTAAAAATTGTGATGAGCACTTTAGAGGAAGGGAATGGGCTCTGAGAAGGAATCATGGAGAGATGACAGTTACTTGGGTGAGTCAGGAAACTCCTTCTTAAGGAAGTGATACTCAAGCTTTGACACTAAGACAGAGTCACACTCCTCCTAATATGTTTCTATCTATTTCATTAGCATCACCCTGTCCTGGTCCTTCTACTGTCTCCCTGGCCATTCCAACTCAGCTTTCTCACTGCTGGTTCCTCCTCTTCTAAACTCAGACTCTGAAGTTTTTCAGGCCTAAGATCTCCAACCTCTTCTCACTACAAAGTTCCTCCCAAGGCAAGCCATTCCACTTTATGACCTCAAGCATCATCTGCATTCAACAATCCCCTAATATATTTTTCCAGCCCAGAACCCTTTTCCTAGCTTTGGATCCATATGTCAACTGCCTACATGACACCTTCACTTGCATACTGCACAGGAGTCTCAAATTTAACATAGCCCGTGAGAAATCAAGATATTTCCCTGTGGAATCTTCTCTTCCTTCAGCAATCTCCATCTCCCTACACAGGACCATTCACTCAGTTGCTGTATCACTACTCAGGGAGTCAACCATGATACCTGCTTCCTCCTCATGTCCCATGTATAACTGGGAATTCAGCCTGGTCTAGTTGATAGCTAAAATATATCTTGAATTTTATCACACTTTTTCCATACCCTACCATTATCTTGTTTGGATACTGCAAGTCTTTTCTCATCCTGTACCCATTTTTTCCCCCTTTCAATTCATTGTCTTAAATGAAAATCTTTTCTGATTATTCCTTGCTTTTAAAATTCTTCCATTGTTCTGAACATCGAATCATTAAAATGGTTTCTAAGACCCTGCATGATCCATCCACTGCTTAATCTTTTAGTCTCATCTCATACTGGTCTTAGCATTACTCTCTGTACTTCAGCAACTATGAACCTCTTTCAGTTCCTAAAATTTAAAAAAGGACCCTCCTTTCTTAAAGACTTTGCACATGCTGCCCCTTCCATCTGGAACTTCTCAGGTGTCCCTGCTTTGTAGTCTGAGTAACACACTGTTCTCTATCTCAGATAAGAGTGCATTTGGCTTCAAGTAACAGATTACCCAATAGAAGTAGTTTTAGCAATAAAGACACTTATCATACATATCACAAAAATCTGGAAGTGGGCACTTCCATACTAAGTACAATATTTCAAAACTCTTATCCAAGACTATGCTCTGCCATTCTGTGAATGTTCACTTTTTAATTTAGGGTCATTGCCTTATGGCTACAAAGTGGCTGTCAGAGCTCCCTATATCATGGTCTGACACAACAATGTTTCTGCATTCATGGTAGAAAAGGGGGCAGAAAGCTCTCCTCTTGGGTATAGCACCTCTACCAGAAACTATAACCTTTGTTTCACATTTCTCCCTCATCATAGTGGCCATATTTGTGTCATATAGTGACTCTTAGCTGCAAGGGGGGGCTCGTTAGATGAGCATCAGGAAAGAGAAGGAAGTAAGTCAGGACGGCTGGTGAATATATAATCAACAGTGTTGAACACGGTCTTCAGAGCACTTACCAAAATAGTAATCAAACAATTCAATATGCACACTTTGTTCACTGTCTCCTCCGTGAGATTATAAGCTCTTTGACTACGGGGAACGTGTCTGTTTCTAAGCCCAGCATCAGTACTGCGCCCAGCCTATGTAGGAGTCAGTTGGCAGTGGTAGAATGAATGAAAGTACGAAAGAAAACAACAGAGGCAGAAAATAGGTACAAAAGGGACAGAAAACTGCCTACGCAGAACTTAAGCCGATGATCATGTCTCATACCTCATGGTTCAATTCTGCATTCCAGGTAATTTGAAAACAGTCTTTCATAAAAAAAAGGCCCACAACAGTGAGAGGCCCACGTAACAAAACAAACAAACAAAAAAAAGCAACTTTTGAAAGTGCTCCATTCTTTGCACCATGAATGCAATTTTCCTAATCTGTTAATTCCTGCCATGTGAGTAGACATGGGTGCTATAGTTTGCATTGAGATCCAGGAATGAATTCTTCAAAAAAATTATTTTAACCACTGTTATATAGCGTTAGATGATCCAGAAAATTTTAAATTGCCTCAAGGACATGAATGTAAATCAATTCTTAGCTAAATCACTCCAAATATCATTCAACAAGAAAAATTTATAAAAGCTAGAAAGTTATTTAAAAGAATAGTCATAAAATTTGGGGTCTAAATTTTCCACTCCTGAGAGCATCACACTAACAGATAAAGATGTCATTCAGATTATCCGATTAGGGAGAAAGCAGATGTAAAATGTCTGGCACATAAAGGATGCTTGGCATGTTTTTGTTCTTATATCTAGACCACAGGAAAAGCTGGGTTTACTCCTAACTCTTTCATGTCCTATATATGTAACTGTGGGCAAGTTGAATATGTTCTTTGATTCATAAATGATATAGTAATCTTTAACCACCTTTCAGTCATAACATGCTGTCACTCTACTATTGAAAAACTTAGATGAATAGAAGTTAAATGGCATTGAATGCAGTCCATAGTAGCCTACCTAATAAAACATGAAGGAATAGATTCATATTCCCAAGAGTCTCTCTATCTACAGATGCAGAATCTGTTCATAGTTTCTGACAGACATCCTGTTTGGTCATCTCAAAACACAAAGGGCCCCAACATGTAAATATCACAAAATTTTTTTAAAGAAAGTTGTAACCATCCACACATACGAGACTAGATTTCAGGTTTTAAATATGGTTGTCATTTGAAATAAAATTCCTTAAAAAGAGAAAATGACTTTAGCATTGGCAAAGGGAGTCCCCTAAGAAAAAAATGTAAACAGATGGCTGAGAAAGATCACCCACATGCTGCACACAGATCTTGAGGAGGCATTTCTAAGAATGAAGTGGCACTTCCCAGCCTGGGCCACGTCCCACAAGGATCCTTATTTAACCCAGAGAAAGCATAGGGTTTCTACCTCTAACCAAGAGGAACTTCAGCCTGCTTGCCTCACAGCAATCCAGACTAGTTTCCAGCTCTCCCCAGTGTTCCAACAGAAGCTAAGTACCAACCACTTGAGAGGGGCAATCCCCTAATAAATCAGGGTTTGATGATCAGCCCTGAACCAACATCTTCCCATACAAAGGGGCTGTTAAGCCCCAGCTAAGCATATTAAGCATTCAATTTAATGTATGACACACATCTGCTCTCCTTTCTCAGGGAGGAGAAGTTTCAAGATAACTTAAATCCCGGACTTAATCAAGGGGAAAAAAAATCTTGGCAATGTTTAAAACTGAGTTTAAAAATATAATCCAAATGAGGGCGAGAGAGACCATTTTGCTGTAAGTAGTGAGATTATATAATACCTAAATCAAATACACAACATTACCTGAGGAGAAGCACCTGTTTCTTTTACCTGGGTCTATTCAACTTTCCTTTCGATTCCATCAACATTTACCAAAGACCGTCATCTACCTCTGGCCCAAGGTATAAAATACAAGCAAAAATGGGCCCTCTGAAAATATGGTAATCTGCCCCCCTCCGTGCCTGATGAAGGCCATAAGAGGAAAACTCACAGATTTGTCTTTTACAAGGAAAGCACAGCACTGAATCCCAGCCATCAGCATCTTGTGTGGATTCCATGCCACAGAGTCAGCCCTGTTACGTTAAACAAAGAAAAAAACAGGGTAGGGAGGGGAGACTCAATTAGTTTCTACTGGTGGGAAGAATGCTGGTACATTCAGTATTCACGTCCAAGTTAGTGCTCCAAAGGATTCCTTGTGTGAGCGGTTTAAGGAGTTTGGGATTTTTTTAAACCAAAACAATTCCTTAGTTTTTTGCCTGTTTTCAAAATGTCACTTAATTGGGCAAAGGCCAAAGAGAGGCCCTAGCCTAAATAAAAGGCACTGTGACTGGGGAAACTACATTTACCTGTGGATGCCGTGCAGAAGCTTGCGGTGCTTCCTTGACATCAAGGCTGAGCCACCCCAGGAAGCCTGTTGAGATATTTATATAACCAAAATGATGTTATTTCAATGGTACTTGTTTACCAGCCAGTTGTTATTTGATGCTTTAAGTCGATGTTAACCAATGTGGACTCTAGGAAATTTTGATCACTGGCTCTACCCAGGCGATCAGAACCTCATCACAATAGATGGTCCCCCACTGACGCTTAGGAGTTAAATTCCCACACTATAAGGAAATTGGTATAGTACTCATTGAGTTGCCTGTGGACAAAGAGAAGTGTAAAAGACACAGTCCATATCCTCTCAAATCTTAGAATCTAAAATAGACAATAGCCCTTCAGTGTTGACATTCTACCATACACGATGTACAAGTGCTGATCATGAGACATGGGTTCAGGAAAGGAAATCCCAGAGTCAATAAGTCTGGAGGAGAGGGAGGAAGAATCAATGTGAGAAATAAGAAAGTCAGTTTGGTACTTGAAATCGAGCAGACTTGTTGTGAGGGAATATGAGGGGACCAGCATGGGAGATGTTGAAAGCTCTCCATGGTTATTTAAACTGCACAACATTGTACTGAGAACAGAGTTATCATCATGTCAATTTTTTAATAGAAAAACTAAGGTTTGGAGGTTATAAAATTTCCAAGGTCTCATAGGTAATAAAAATCAGGTCTGAGAGACAAAAGTCCATTCTTTTTTTACACTAACATCATATCTTAGGGAAGGTGACCAATTGGCCTGATGGTAGAACTCAGCATGGAGAATTGAGGTAGGAGGGGAGTTGCCTAGCAGAATTTTAAAAGGCAACCCCAATGAACATGTACCCCAACGTTCATTGCAGAGCTATTTACAATAGCCAAGACATGGAAGAAACCTAAATATCCATCGACAGATGAATGGATAAAGAAGATGTGGTTCATATATATTGGGTTGGCCAAAAAGTTCGAACTTTTTGGCCAACACAATACAATGGAATATTACTCAGCCATAAAAAAGAATGAAATAATGCCATTTGCAGCAACATGGATGGATCTAGAGTTGATTATACTAAGTGAAGTAAGTCAGACAGAGAAAGACAAATATCATATGATACCACTTAATATGTGGAATCAGAAAAAAAATGATACAAATGAACTTACATAACAAAACAGAAATAGACTCACAGATATAGAAGACAAACTTATGGTTACCAAAGGGGAAAGGAGGGGAAGGCTAAATTAGGATGTTGAGATTAGCAGATACACACTACTATATATAAAACAAGTAAGCGGCAAGGACCTACTGTATAGCACAGGAAACTATACTCAATATTTTGTAATAACTTATAATGGAAAAGAATCTGAAAAGAATATATATATATAATAGGTATGTATAACTGAATCACTTTGCTGTACACCTGAAACTAACACAACATTGTAAATCAACTATATTGCAATTTTAAAAAAAGATCTTTCTAAAAACTTTATGCCCCAAACTTTGGCCTTGAGCATTCTAATATGACTATAGTGAGTATAATAATTTAATTCAAGAAATATTTATTACATATCTAAATAGACTGACACTGAGATAAGTGCTAGAAATACAACAGTAAATAAAACACTGAAATAATAACTCCAAAAAAAAGGTAAGGAAGAGCCCAATATCATGCAGAAAGAAATGGCAAGATTGTGTGCACCATGGATGTCAAGGAGGAAGTAAGTGAGAGGTCTCCACAATCCTCAGAGTATTAAAAAGCTGAGCCCAATGGTGGACAGTAAAGAGTGGCCTTAAGAACAGCTCTCTCATTCAGGGCTGTGCCCAAGGGCAAGTGAGCGAGTCACCCAGGGTGCACCCTTCAGCTCACTCGCAGAGTTGGACCCTTGCATGGCCCTGGGCGTGAATGCCTCCTTAAATTTTCAAATACCAAACTGACTTTCTTATTTCTCACATTGATTCTTCCTCCCTCCCCTCCAGACTTACTGACAATGGGATTTCTTTTCCTCTCCTTATTCTCAGCTCTCCTCTCCTTTGCTCATAACACCTACCTGTCCAATGAACCCTAGGAACCTCACTTGCCTCACCTTAGTCCCAGCCCTGTTTCCAGGGACTAGACTCTCCAGTGACCCCATAGGGTTCCCAAAGGTTTGTGGGCCGAAGGTGGTGTGCAGGCGAGTTCCAAAGACGCCCAGATAAAGGACTGATGATCAGGATTGTCAGTCAAGTCCCCTTGCTGCTGCCCTCTCTGTCCCACCAGAGTTCATGATGGACCATGTGTGACCAAAGCTGAGCTATGGAGGCAGCTGCCCTCAGCCTCTGGGAAAACGTGATCTGAACCTGCTAACTGAGGCTCCCCAGACCTGGGGTTTGAGAACTTGACCCTCAGGAACATGAAGATGACTTACATATTAGGTTCTTTTACTTCTCTTATATCCCTAAACTCTAAGTTGCCTGCTTTTCTCAATCTTTTTAACCCCCAACTGCATGGAGAACCTACCAGGGGCAACTAGGGGAAGGATTAATCAGTAAAGCTCAGCCACGCCCATTCACTCTCACCCTTTCCACCTGCCCACTCACACACCTGCCCTCACTGGTGCCTCCTGCACTGGCCTCTGCCTCTTCTTCCTCCTCAAAAAGTAGACAACATTCTGCCAATCTTAGTGAGCTGGATTGAAGTTTTAAAATCACATGAACTCTTTCAAGGCATTAGTTCACTGGTTTACAGGGTGGTAGGCAGAGTTAGAAGCAGCTCATCCACAAATGTATTCCACAAAAGAGCTGAAAGGGGAAAGACGATGTGCCTGATGCCAGTGCCCTACTTGTATTGGCTTCGCTCCATAACCCCCTCACTCCAGAGCTCGCAACAACATCGAACCAACGGATGTCATTATTGAGCTATGAGCCAGACACCATGAGTACCATTTTACTACGTTTTTCTCTTCAAGTAATTAGTTAATAATTTAATTGTAGAGCCAATCTTGAATGGGAAGTGGAGGCAGGGTGGAATGTAGAGATGGCAGCCCCTAAAGCCCATGATTTTAAATACAGTGTTTGTCACCTCTCCCGGGACTTGGGATGGAGTGTGGGTGAGACACCGTAGGAAGGGTTGCTGGGAGGGTGAGATTTTGCAGTGGCCGCAGCCTCTGCTTCAGAGAAGAGCTGGACCAGCCCTGAAATCCTGGTCTCAGGCAGAGGCTGGGATAACATTGACTCTCGCAGATACAGAATAATCCTGGAGGCAAAATATTCTAACACAGCTGAAATTTTTCTCATTCTGTTGTTCAAAAATACATTGTAATTAACCAAATTTCAGACACTATCAGAGGTAAGAGTACCATTTTTTTGTGGATTGCTAAGAAAGAAAAAAAAATGACATCAACATACCAATTAGGTATATTAAAAATGTAAACAAAATATGTGTATCTTAGAAATAATAAGATATGGTATATATGCCGGGCAACCTGGTTTTATGGAAAACGCAGAAGACCAAGCAATTCTAATTACATTTTTAAAAAGAAATCAAGTAAATGCCAGTTTTTAATATTTTAAAGGATCTTTAAAATACCCTTTAGAAAATTTCAGGACTTCCCTGGTGGCACAGTGGTTAAGAATCCGCCTGCCAATGTAGGGGAGACGGGTTCGAGCCCTGGTCCGGGAAGATCCCACATGCCGTGGAGCAACTAAGCCCATGCACCACAATTACTGAGCCTGCGTGCCACAACTACTGAAGCCCATGCGTCTAGGGCCCGTGCTCCGTGGCAAGAGAAGCCACTGCAATGAGAAGCCTGCACACCACAAGGAAGAGTAGCCCCCGCCCACTGCAACTAGAGAAAGCCAGTGTGCAGCAATGAAGACCCAATGCAGCCAAAAAAATTCGAACAGGCCAAAGTAATCACTGTAATTTTACTAATTTTTACCTGTAAAATTAATAAACTACCCTTGGTATATGAAGTTTCTTCAAGAGAAGTTATATGCTCCTGCATAAAATTTTATCAACAGAATGATGTCTGCAATATTAGAGGATGAGTGAGTACTGTCTCAATGTTAGAGCTAATTTCTTTAATAAGTCATATAAACAGTTGTCAAATGTAATCTAATACTACAGACATTCAACTTGAAGCTTATTATATGCAAATAGAACAGTTTGCGTGGCTTAAATATTCCCTTATAAAAGTGTTTTCTTCAAAAATTCAACCTTTGACTTTTAGCAAATCTAGAGAGGTTTTCATTCACATCTTACAAATCACAATTCTTTCTAAGCCCCATAAATCTCTTAATATCATTCCCAATTTGGAAACTGCTGTAGTTACTCTGTTTTACATAAACCATATAATCTATATTTGATGTTTCTTTTATGAGAGTAGAATTAAGTATAACTGCTCATATATTTGATTTTGCCCCTATTTCCACAGTCACAAAAGTACTCACTTCATATTATCTTTCAGGACATACTGTATTATTATGCTTCTAAGTCTATAAAAATCAATAAGATATAAGTTGAAATGTGAACAGATACAGATACTATAATCCCACTTAAAGAAGTCACAAATAATCTACCTGATGTATTGCCATTGGCTTACTAATCAAGCCTATAACTCTAGTGAGCTTTATATTACTACTTCTGCTTTTACCAAATATTAGCATACATTTAATGAAAGCTTTGAGTTGCTGAAAAATTCTTTCGATATTATATCATAGAAACTTTACCTTGAAAGCATAAAGTCATCCAAACTATAAAATTATGTGCAGGCATATCCCCGAAAGAAATGCTCAGTTACCTAATGTTCAGTAAGTCAAAAAAATTGTCCTTTCTTTTTCTGATAAGGAGGACACAAAACCACTCACTTACTGGAGGAAAGTTCCTCTCAACTGCAGGTTCAACAGTTCCTTCTACTGGGTTGAATCAAACTAATTAACTGCTGTTTTCACACACACACAAAGAAAACCAAAATGCTCAACAAGCATTCATAACTGGCTGAATTCAACTTTTTAACCTTAAATAAGTAGAATTGTTAAGAGTTACTTTTAATTTAGGACAACAATTATTATGAACAACCCTAGGACCTCCAAAACTAATTAGAAAAAAAAAAAGGCCAACCCTTTAAGTTAGAAAATTGTGAAGAATATAAGTTATCTCAATCCCTCTCCAATAGTTATCTATGATAGATCCAGATAAAACCTGTTTTAATTATGGCATGCAATGAAGTCATGCAGCCTTTTGCATTTTCCAGCTGATTGGAAGCACAGAATGTTAGAGCTAGAAGATCCTTTATTGACCACGTCAGTCATTTCCCTCTTTACAGATGAAACCAAAACCCAAACAGCTGGGGTCACAATGAAGAGGAGGCAGATTCGAATCCAAAACCAGCCTCTCGACTGCACAGTAGGAAATGTGTCCCCCACACAGTGTTGCCTCAATGACAGTAGATCCAAGGAACCAAAGAAATGATTCAGGACAGAAGAGGAAATCTGGAAAACTAAGACAAAATGCGCATCAATGCAGGATCTTCTTCTTTATTACCTAACAGGAAACAACACATTTATTTCCCCTAATTAGAAATATACATTTAAATACAACTACCTGGGGACCTCACATTTAGTTACTGGGAATACGAAAAACTTCCCACCAAAGCTGCAAAAAGGCTAGAAAGTTTAACAGATATGCACACCCAGATGAACTTACATCCACGTGGAGCCAGAGGCCATGCCTCTCGCAGACGTCCGCTATCTCATCCAGAGGATCGAAGGCCCCCAGTACCGTGGTACCAGATGTGGCACAGACAAGGAATGGAGCTGCACCCTGTGAGAAGGACCCACACGTGAGAATTATAAGAATCATCATCGTCACCATTAAATCTGTGCTGCAGTAGGTTGGTAAACACAAGGGTTATACACCCAGACATTTATCTGGCTTCTTTGGAGATAAACATTCATTGAGTGAGTGTTGTTTACACTTCTCCATCACATGGCCTCTAGTCACTATAAATAGGCTAAAGAAACAGAAAATGCCATGACAATAGTATCCTTTGTCCCAACTCCACATGCATCCTTATTCTCTTTACTCTCATTTTCTTTATTAGTCTTTTCTGTTCTCTAGCTTTTCTGGATAGAAGTGAATAAACTCAACCTCCACAGCAAACTGGCATCCTGTGTGACTCCTAACTCCTTCCCAGGGAGACTCATCGGGGCCTCCCTAACACCTCCAAAATAAGAAGGAACAGGACTGGAAGACAAACAGCCAGCTCCAGGAGCAGGCCATGCAGCTTGTCTGCTTGTCACCTGGTAAAGTAAGAGCAGCTACAAGGCAAGGGATGTAATCAGGTATAAATTTGGCGTCAGAGGGGATATGGTAACCTCATTGGGATACACTCCCCCAAACGGGTGCTGCCACAGAGAAAGTCATTAGAATGTGCTGGAAAAGAGAACCTGCATCTTTCTGCCGTAATTTTCCCTCCTCATCCAGTCCATGGCTGCGTCTTGCGGAGACAGCAGGTACCCGTGAGAAATGGGAGGAAAGGGAGAATGTGGGAACAAGTGCAGAGATGAATGGTAATTCCAGCCAAGCGAGCCAGGCACCCTGGTCCCATGAGGGATTTTACGGCAGCCATGTAGAAGACAGTACACGAGGTTGTTTCCAGATAGATCCATCCCAACGTGTTGGCAGAGGTGTGTTGCTCTCTTTGGAAGTGCCATGAGGGGAAAATTTGCAGACAAAGGTGGTGATCAGGAGAGCAAGTAGAATCCTGATTCTAGAGCACAAGAAGTCAGTGACAAGAATACTTACTTGCAGAGAAAGAGTCAAAGTCATTTTAGGATGGAGTCATTTTTCCCTCAGTTTTATCGTGAAATACACTTGTTCTTGTAAAATAATTTAATGTCAGGGGTGTTCAGCTTGAACCAGATTCATTCCAATTTAGCTGACCTTTGACAGAAAGAAGTTATTTCTCGATGGAAAGCGGGGCAGAGCAATGATGCTTGGTCCACATCTCTAGGCTGAGATGCACAGGAATCAAAGTGATGGTACACAATGGAAACATCTGCCACGTGGGGAGACAGCTGTGACACATGGAATACAGTCCACCATGCCTCCTAGAGCACAGCCAGTAGGTGACAGAGCCCCTGGGACCATAGGCTTTGGGACTTCTTCCCTGTAATCAACTGCCAACAGATTATGTCTTTATCATGCCCATGACCTAAATGAAACGTGACCAGATTTACATCCATCAGTAAAAGCAATAGAAAAAGTAATTTACTAAAACCACTGAAGGTGTCTTTAATGGTTGAGCTTTCCTTATAAAGTCTATGACATCCTGACAATTGTGAGAAAATATCTATGCTAGCTATTACAAACCATTAATGAGTTTTCCTCACCTGTTTAATCCAGCTATAAATATAAGTCTCAGAAATTCAACTTTCATAATCTGGATTTAACCTTCCAGGTTTTTTTCCCCTTTTTCATATCTCACACTGTTAATGAGAAAAGTCAGTGGAAACAGTATTGACTGTGTGTTGCCAATGAGTTGTATTCTCTAAGAAAGTTTGCCATTTCAAATACTCATACACAAAAATACTTCCAATTATTCAGTGTTTATACTAGTTGTATCTTTTTATAAGCACTTTAGAACTTCTGATGCTTCTGTGGTTTTTACCATCTTTGTAATGGCATCAAGGTAAAGGTCACTGCTCAACAGATTTTTAATGGATCGTGGTTGGCCAGGGAATTGAACCCCAGCGGCAAAAAAAAAAAGTTGATAACTATTTCCTACCTCTGCAACAATATGAGTTAAAAACTTGAAACAAACAACAACAAAGAGTAGGTCTGAAGCTACTGAGAAAAAGAAACTAGTCATCACGTATTAAAATCTCAGAATGGATGCAAGATTTGTCCTTAGTGAATCCAAGCTCAAGTTTTAACTGACTTGAGAGAAAACTGAGGAGGCATGCCAACACTAACCCTGTTGCCCTACTTTCAAATGTGCCTCAAGCAATTTTTACTTTTTAAAAACTTCCCTTTCAAGTTCTCAACTTCAGGATATGTCACTTTCATGGACTTTCATTGTCAAAACAAACAGAAATTTGAACAGTGAAAATAATAATGACTGCCGTGGAGTAAAATCCATCCAATATGTTAGAAGATGAGTTCTTCATGATACTTTAAAAAGAAAAAAAGGTTTGGCTAGCTTGCAGGATGCCTGGCAACTCACTCACTATTCTGAAAATTGGTAAATAAGGGAAAAGAATAAAATATTGGTACTGTCTTGCTTGTCCAAACTGTTTCCTTAGGGAAACCAAATACGGATGAAGAAACAAAAATGTTTAGGGTAGTAGGCCTGCCACTAAATGAAGAAGGAATGAGAGAATGAATTAGAACATCACTAATGAAATAACAGGTCTAGACAATGATGACAAATGGCAGCAAAATCCATGAGGTGAGAGGCTGATGCAGAGTTCTGTGACAGATGGACAAAAGGAGGTCCAAGACGTCTCCTGATTGAAAGGCAAAATGCCACCCATGAAGTCATCCTGGTAAAAATTCCAACCTGAATCTTCCCAAGTCTCAGTATCTAACAGCCAAATTACAGGAAATATAGAAAACAGATGGGGAGGTACAGGGGAGGGGAGCGCTTAGAGTCTCAAATTCTTGATGGAATCAACAAAATCCATAATGTGAAAACTCTACAGGGCAAAGGACTTGGTTTCTCCAACAGATCAGTTGCAGGGGAAAAAAGGAGGGGAGACTGTAAGTTAGAAAAGATTTATGTGATAAATCAACCAAATGCCACACATGGACTTTGTATGACTCCTTATTCAGACCACCAGCTATTTTTTTAAAAAGGCAATGGAAGAAAGTTTAATCAGAGTGAATACTGGATAATATTAAGAACTTATTCTTGCTTATAATTGCGTTATGGGCTTTTTTGAAAGAGAGAGTGCATATCTTTTACAGATATACTGAACTATTTATAGATCAAATGACATAATGTGTAGGATACACTTCAAACTGATCTAGAGGTACTGGGAGGGGATGTGAGCATAAGCTAATGATTGTGAAAGTTGCATGACTGGTATATGGAATCTCATTATATTAGTTTTACATATATTTACAATTTTCCATAATGAAAAGTTTAAAATTGAAAGAAAGAAAGAAAGAAAGAAAGGAGGGAGGGAGGGAGGAAGGAAGGAAAGAGAAAGAGAGGAAGGGAAGGAAGGAAGGAGGAAGGGGTGTTGGTGGGTGTTCCCCACCAACAAGCATTAATAACATAAAGTTCTTTTTGATAGGAACTTCTGTAGAAAAAGATAAAACTAGATTTTAAAAAATAGATAAAACTAGAAGGTGATATCTGTAGTTCACAGCAGAATAAACAGGTTGCAATATAGAATTTTACCCAAGAGATAAAGAAATCTGATAACCTGTACCACCAGACAACTATCAAATCCACTTGTCAATGAAATGTTTTAAAAAATATCGTGCTAAGGACACACACCAGAAGCCAATACATGTGCAATAAAGGCAGAACTTTTAAGCACAGAATTTCACACCAAATACAGTGATCTAGCATGCTCCAGACAAGTTGAATTTCATGAAAAATTTTTAAAAATATGAAGAGTGAAAGAAAAGAAATATAATACTAAATCTTAAAAAATAAAAATTAAAGAACCCATCTTTCCTAAAGTGTGAAGCCCTCTGAGGAGAGATAAACTTATATCCCAGCTCAAAAGCTGGGCTTTTAATTTTTCAGCAGTCACACCCCACGTTGTTGCGGTCTATTGGAAAGTGGTGGGAGAACGGTCTGAAGCTCCACTGGCATGGGGGCTGCGGGAAGATGGGAGGGAAGCAGTGAAGTGGCTGCACCTAATCCAGTAGGCTTTTGGTCCAAGAAGCAAGATGGCTGGCACCAAGACAATGCCACACCCAAAAAGCAGATGCCAGGCTTAGCTGGAGTACAGCAGGTGACCAGGGCCATGCCTTGTCTTCCCCAGCAATGGAGGTGCAAGCTTTAATACATCCTGGCAGCTAAGGAAGAGAGGATAGTCTGCCAGAGCTGAAATACTAGACCCACACCCAACAGGGGGTGATGGTTATGGATGGGCTTTGGGTGGAAGCAACCCAGGAGGACAGTTTGATCAAGAAATCAGAAATCATCCTGAATGCAGCCCAGAGACAACTGGTTTAGCCTGTAGCATCCTCAGAGTCAAGAGCTACGTAGGAGTGTGGATGCTGGGACCCTGCTAGAGAGGCTGGGCTCATCTTTTGAGGCTAATTCTAGGCAAGAATCCGGAATCCAGTGATGTCAGTGTTTTAATAAGCTCCAGCCATCTGGGAATGAGAACATCTGAGAAACTCCGCAGAACGTGTAGAGCAAGCACCCGGAAATAGCACATCTGTAAATGAGCTTCCTCCTTTAATTCTAAGGGGCCCTCTTCTCTCTCCCACACATACAGACGTGGGCCTGGCTGCTGGCCCTGCATGCTCCCCCAATGCCCAGACACACAAACGTTTTCTCTCCCTCCCTCTCCTTCCCCCTCTCACCTCTTTCTTGGCTTGCCACACTTGCCTCTCCAGCTCCTCAGGTATCATCTTACCTCTAAGAGACACAGGTTTGAGACATTGTTATGTTCAGCTGTGAACAGACCTTGGTACTGCTTTTTAAATAGTTATCAGTTTCCCCCTCCACCCACCTGGCTTCTGGATCCTGTCCCCATTACCTTCCATCTGTTTCCACAAAGCAAACATTCTCAGTACCAATCCCAAGAAAGGAGGCCGCCTTCTTCATAGAGTAATGACACTACATTCAAAAAGGCAAGGGGGAGAGAGAGACACAAATACATAGCATGAAAAAAGCACTGTTTATTTATCTAAATGGGTGTACATTATACGGCTAAGCCCAATCTTTGGAATAGTATTGCCATAAAAAAAAAGAAAGTCATTTAACTGAGCTCTTTAGTATAGTGGTTGAAAACACTGATTTTGGTTGGGGTCAGAGAAACCAGGATTTAATCCAAGTTTTCCCAGTTACAGCTATAGACCCTTGAGCAAAGAACACATACTCTCCAAGCCTCCATTTGCTAATCTATAAAGCGGACATGTGGATGCCTCCTCCACCTGCTTGTCATGGAGTTAAATGGGTTAATGTATGTAATGAGCTAGCACAGAGCCTGGCATACGGAAAAAACTTGGTCACTGGAGGCTGCTGTTTTATGTAACATTGAAAAAGTTTCTCTTGATGCTACTAATAAAACTCAGTATTAATGGAAACAGAATCTAGTCCACTGCTGACTCAAAAGCCCTCTAAGGAGTGAGCAAGACTGTCTCAAAAATTGTAGTCACAGACCACAGGAGGATCTGTTTTCAAGAGCAAACAATGGGTTATAAATGCTGATCAGACACTTGACCAATCTTGTTTAATAGTGAATATAAGACTGAAATTAGACACACGGGAGTGTGGCTAAATCATAACAACAAAAGTAATAATAATTTATAGACACACTACTGATGCAGCCCTGGCATGAATGAGGCTAAGAGCTGGCTTTGGAATTAGGTCTTGTCTATTTCTTATCGGCAAATAGTAGTATAGACTTTGGAGTGTTGGGTCTTTTTGCCCTACGTAAATCCTATCAAATAATTAGCATTCAAACATTGGAGATGTCGCTCTTTGTACATTACTGTGGACAGGTGGTCAATTAATTCCTTTTCATGCCAGAAAAAATGAAGGTGCTAAAGGACATTATTGTACCAAAAAACCTTAGTAATTTAATTTGTAGGTATGAATACATTAAAAGAGTAGTCAAGCCTTCACACTTAATTTGATATATTTCCCTCAAATGTGGTAATTTCTTTCCTCTTTTGTCAAGAGAGTTTTATGGGGAGCTCTTTTTGAATTCTGTAAAAATAAATGCAGAAGTAACACCATCAGGAAAAATGAAACCATCCTAAATAATTAATTTCCAAATATCAAACAGGACACATTCAAAATGCCTATAGGATGCATTCATTTCGAGTTGTTACAAGAACATGTGCATAGTGAAGAGTAATAATGTACATGAAAATATAGTTAATTCCCTACTTGCTACATCAGCCCACCATAGCTAAGGTGACATAGCTAATGTGAATTATTTCTCACCAGAGATTGGGGCTCTGGCACCAAACAGCTATTGGTTTCATAATGATAAATAGTAGCCTACCCCCACTGACATCTGCCAATAAGGAAAATCACATTGCTTTGCCCTGAGAAACAGCAAAATACCCCCAACCAATGGATCTGCTGAATAAAAAACCTGTCATCAGAATAAGAATAGCTTCGGTGGAGCTATTTTTGGGTATCTCAGGGCAAAGTAGAGTCCACTGTCAATCTCAAATGGATAGAGACAGCTTTTCACAAGTCTGAAAAACTGAAGCCTAAACATCTGAAAGCATCAGAGGAGGAAAAGAGCCCTGGAAGGGGAAAAAAAAGAGAGAGCAATGCTTCAGACATACTGAGTAGTTTCAAGAGAAGAAAAAACCTAGAAGGCCGGAGTTCAGAAGTAACAGCTGCATTTAGAAACAAGAGGCGCCTACTCCCTTCACTGGCAGAAGAGAAGTTAGTCCTTCTAAGACCCAATCTCCCCCTGAGTTTCACTCATCCACAGAAGACACACAAATCTCAGTGGGCATTCATTTCTATAAAAGTAAGACGGCCAGTGTCCACAGGAAAGACAGAATTGCACTGAAGTTTTCCTTCCTGGTTCCAGCAAGGATTTCATCTGTGACCTTGGGTTTCTCAGTGAACCGCTGCTTTCCCCTCCTGTGGATTGTGTTCTGGACACTTGAAGTCCTATGATGCTGACTAGTTTGAAGTTCAAATTAGCTTCAGGTGGTGGGGAGAGCGGGGTTATGAATGTTATGCCTTAGGAAATAAAGAAAAGGAATGTACAGGGACTTTTCCAAGAGCACGCAGCTGGTTCAATTCCTAAAGAGGCAGAGTCGGAATCCAGATGGACTACCTTACACCCTGCACAACATCCTGAAAAGCACCTGCTGGCCTGTGAATGCCTGCAATGCCATCCAAACTCAGGGCAGCCTCACCTAGAGAGCAGGGCCGTGATGGAGGGAGTCAGGCACCTCAGGTGCAAAATTTAAGGAGGTATGACCTTGAAACGTGGACTCAACACGTCTCACTTGCCTCATCCCAGCCTCGATCCTGTTAGTGAGGAACTATGACAACTGATCACTGGCCTGGGAGTGAAAAGGGTTTCTTTTCTCCCTCACTTTTTAGTGGCAGACAATAATCACTACTTCATGCTAATTCCCAAAATGATTTGAATGACAACCCTAAGATTTCTATAAATGTAAGTAATTCATATCTAACTGCTAATCAGGCCACAATCTGTTCCTTTTATTACTTTTCTCCAAAAGTCCCCTTCTCTTTGGTTCCCGCTTGGCCTGGAGAGGCTACCTTAGATATGCTGACAGTCTAGGGGTCTCTGCTGTGATCTTCCTGGTCTCCACCAACAGCTGAATTACCGTGGAGACCTGAAGTGTATGCAAAAACCCCTTTAGTGGCGAGTGCACATATTCTGCATTTGATGGTGCAAGGCAGATATGGAGTAACTTACCCTGGTTCATCTGGGGCTGCAATAAAAACTGGAAAAGTAAGGCCACCTGATAAAACAATCTGGGAAAATAACCAGGGGGCCATGGGCCAACGCCTGAAAAAAAACAAGGGGGCTATAACAAAAAGATTAGCATAGGGTTTAGGATCTTTTAGGAAACGCAGCTTTCTTTAATTCTTTTTTTTTCCACTAAGTAATGAATTGATTTGTTGTAAATAGTGGTACAGAGGTCCCTAAAATATGAATTAAAGTAATGCCAATGCTATGACTTGGGTCTCTTTGGCAGAGCAGGGAAAAGAAGGAGCTACAAAGAAGCGTATGGTGGCTGGGGTAAAATTCATATATTCAAGGCTACAGTGTGTTCAAAGTCATGGAATTTTTCTATGGAGTTCACTTTGTTGTGGACTGAATGTTTGAGTCCCCTCAAAATTCATGTGTGTTTAATCCCTGCCCCCCAATGTGATGGTCTCCAGGGCGAGACTCTGATGGGATGAGTGCCCTTGTAAGAAGAGGAAGGCAGGCCTCACTTTGACCACGAGCCTGGACGGAGGCAAGGCCATGTGAGCACAGAGGTTCACTCGCCAGGAAGCAGCTTCTCTCCAGACACCAGCACCTTGATCATGGACATCCCAGCCTCCAGAACTGTGAGAAATAGACGTCTGTTGTTTAGGCCGCCCACTCTATATTTTGCTAGAGCAGTCTGAGCAAACTAAGACACACATCTAGCTTGGTTTTCTGGCTCCATCCTCTGCTGGTCTGTTAGCCAAGGCATATATTTTACCTCTTTTCGCACCTATATCTCCACCGGAGATTTTAAAAAATACTTAGTTCTGGGTTCACAACTTTTCAATTTCTTTTCATTCCCAACTTGCCAGCTACACCTGTTACTGATCTTTCCCAGGCATAATCTTTATTTTAGGCTTCCATAGAAATTCTTCCCTCTTCTGGTACATTTTAAACCAAATGAAGAACGAAAAAGGCAAAAGTAAAAGCACTGCACTGACAGGAGGGCCCCTATTTAATCAGCTTTCCAAGGCATGGAAACAGCAATTCTAATGCAGAGGGGCTCTGCATTTCTGATACACTAGGGTTCCTCCAACTGAAATACCAAGGATTGGAACCCGAGGGTTGGAACCAAAGTTTCCCAGGGCAGGGAAATTCTACTCCATAATCATTCCAAATAACCAAGCATTTTCCACAGATGTCCACATTCCCAAGCATTCTCCTCTTGCTACAGAATGAACATCTCATGAGGAAGGGCCTGGGGAGCTGAGGTCAGAATCTCAGACTAGATGACTCCTCCCAGCTGCCCCCAACTCAATGCCCACTTTGCCCTTAGCGCTGAACTAACCAGAACTCAGGCAGGGCAGGGGGAACACGCGGGGGTGGTCAGGTTCCTGCACCATTTATACTTTTGCCATAATAAAGTAACTTGCTCTTGAAAGAAAGTAACAGACACAGGAAAGTCCAGCTGGAATTAACAGAGAATTTTCAGAGTTTGCCCACCTCACGTGTTTGACAGGAGACCTAGGATTATTGCAGAAGGTATAGGAGGGGACATGGGGAAGAAGCAGTGGTGGGATGGACCCCCAGAGGCCCCCACTGGAATCACAAAAATAAAAACAAAGAAAGCATCCCTTCTAAGTAAGACTGCATATGAGCTGTGCTCTGCATTATTATTGCTGGGTCATTCTCCTCCTCCTATTACTACTAATAGCTAACGTTTTTGTCTATCTAGCATGTGCCAGATGCTACTTGACATGCTCTAACTCATTCAATCTTTGCAATAACCCATTAATCAATCAGTGCCTACTAAGCTCATGTCGCCACTGGGCTGCTTTAATGGCCCCAGACTGTTCACTGCTCCCTGCATCCAATCCCTTTTCCTGGTGGCTTTGCAGAGTCCCCTTAAGACGTGAAGTCTATTTTCCCATTTCTTGGATCTAGGTTCCTATATACAACTTATTTTACCAAGAAAATGAGGGAGAAATGACAATGTGCCAGTTCTGAGCCCAGGACTCAGGAGGCCCAGTGTGTGTCCATGCTGTTTTTTACCTGCAGCACTGTCATGACAACACACCTGGACTAGCCTGCTGGCGGATGAGAGACAAGTGGAGCATCACTGGGGTCAGTCCAGCCCAGCCACTCCCAGATCAGCCACTCGCCAGCCAAGCCCAGCAAAGAACAGCAGCACTGCCCAGCTATCTCCAAACTCGAGGGCAACAATATCTGGCTATAGTTCTATGCCACTGGGTTTTGGAGTAATTTGTTAGATATTAGAGCTAACTGATACACTCATTTTTATAAATTAGGAAACTGAGGCACAGAGGAATTAGCCAACTTACCCAAGGTCACTCAGATAGTAAGTAGTGGAGACAGGAATTGAATCCAGGCAGCCTAGTTGAAAGCCAATGCGCTCATCCACAATTGGACCTCCTACTTCAGTGGGGAGCACAGTGAGATAGGGGATCGTGGCAACATCCAACTGTGCGTGTGTGTGCACGCGTGCGTGCACGTGATGTTCATTGTTACTGAATATCTCCCTTTCCTCTTGAAGAGCCCTTGTGTTAGCCATTCAAAGCAATCAATTTCACAAGGAAATGGGAGTAGAAGACATACCTGATATCAGTAGCAATCATCTAAGTTCTCAAAAATAAGACACTCAGAGATTCAAAGAAAGAGGTGGCACTTTCAAATTAAGTGTTCTCTTTTCTCTAAGAAAATGTTACAGGCTATAAATTTTAAATAAAGGTGATGTACAAAATTGGGTGGCCAGGGCTTACAATATCAAACCGATCAGAATTTCTTTTGGAATGAATACAACGTTGTACGTAGGCACGTGACTCACACATGGATGGGATAAGAGCACATCGGGAGCACCCAAACAAAAAAGTCCTCTTCATGATGTATTCGTTCTCAGAAAATCTATATCTCATATCAAAAATAATTTGTTTTTTACCTCTGCCGATGTGAAAAAGATTAATCTTGGCAAGCCAGACAGCCCCTTTTCTTTAATATCAGGACAGTACTTGTATCTGGCTAAATTCATGGCATACATATTGGACACTGAACCACCTGCAAAAACAAAAACAGAAATATGTATAGCGTGACGTCCTTGTTCCCCAAGTGCCGGCTACGGTAGGAGGCATGGATGGCTGCGGGTGCACCAGCCTAATGACAAATTACTGTCAAAATCAAGGGAGCACCCCCCCCCAATCCCATTACTCTTACACACTTCCTCATCTCCAGTTCCAGAAGTTTTGGTCTATTCTCTCATTCCAGAGCTTTTCTAAACTAAGAGTTTCCATCTCTGGACTTAGGACGAGTATCCAAGTCTCCATAGTTAATAATATTCTTTCTGTCTGTCTCTAATCAATAAAATGACAATACATGCTCCTCCCTGGTTCCAAAGAAGGACTGTAGGAGAAATAAAATATGATTCAGGAAACTTCTCAAGTAAAATTAATTGATAAACTTGAAAAACGTATGATAGCCCTTCCTAACTTCCAGCAACAGATACATTTGTGTTGGATATAAATCCAAAATTGTAGACATCTCATTTGTTAGCATGTATGTCACTTCTGTAGCATTTATGCAAAATATCGTCACTCTGGAGAAAGGCACAAGCTCGATTCTCCCCAAGTGGCATGATTAATATCCAAGTTTTTGTAATGTGGAAGTCTGTGGGGAGTTGTTCCTCAAATAAGGCATGAATAAAATTGTAGATGCTTTAATGGAGGCAATAACTAATTGTACTTACCTGGGTTAAATATTCCATCCCCTTCTTTCCAGCCAATAAATTCAATCATTTTCTTCAGAACCGCTTCTTCCACTAACAGAAACACTGGGGACACCTCATACGTATAACTAGATAGATATAAAAAACACTTCACTTCTATGACTAGAGTCAAACCATCCCTTTGGAGTCCCAAGAAATGCACACAGAGTTTTATTAAACCAAGTGGCTGCTGAAGTGTGGGTAGAGTCTTTGGAAATGAATCCATCGGAAACAGAGAATACACAGTCTATGACAGCGCTGGTCGTGATTAGATAAATGTCAGTAGCTGGTGGCTTTAAGGATACTAGCTACTTTGCAGTCTTAATTTAGAGCAAACCTTCAATTTCATTGGGAGGATCAAAGCAGTGCACCTGGATTCTTTGTATTAGTCATGAACAGCGGCCGTTTAGCTCTTTGGTTGCTGGTTAAAGAAAAACCATTGTCATGGTAGCCAGGTTTATTAGGTTACTACCATGAATACCCTAGCAGTCAGCTCTAGAACTTGGGATTCCTCCACCACACTCCTGGGTTTGTACAAATGGCAAGAGCACTGTGGACATCTCTTACGATGTGATGATTTTACTACACAGTGCTACCTGGATCCCTGTCATGAAGGTTTGAGGCTCTGGGCTGGAATGCTGTCATTAGAGAGCATTGCTAAGTTAGCCCCTTTAGGAATGTCCTGTGGTGGTTCACACCTGATGACTGGTCCAGTTGGAGGTACAACTGGGCCTGGCCTTGGGGGCCCAGCTCCAGACCACACTGAGGGCCAGGGTAGCTCCAGAGACGTCTGTGGGGTCAGCCGAGGTGGTCTTAGAGCCTACACAGTGGCTTGACTCCTATCTCTGCCCACTCCTGCTTCCTTTCCCTCCCTTCCCCTCCCTCAAACCCTGTTGACCCCAAGGGTTTCCCTTAATAAACATCCTACTCACTAAGCTCCATCTAGGGCAGCTGCCCAGGAATCCAGCCTGAAACAGTTACCATGTAATTTTATAACGTTTCTTTCTTTCTCCAGATAACTGGAGGGTGACTAATATGTATAATCTCCTTCTTGAACAATTAGGTGATTACCTTAAATTGAATCTGAATAAATATGTACTCTAAATATGTAAGCTAAGCAGACACATTTAAATTCATAGTCACGGAATTTAATGCAATTATGTTAACATCAGAAGGAAAAAAACTTTAGTAAAGAGGCAAAAAAAAAAAAAGGAAAAGAGAACACCTACTGTGTTATCACCTCCCTACCTGCCAAGCACTCTAAAGTTACATCATTTTTCAAACAATTTAGCTTCTATTTTCAACTATGCTAGGAAACCACTTTACACATATCAAAAGTGTGAAAAAAAGTATATATATGTACGTGTACCTACAAATAAAAGTGAAATAATCATTCACTTTCTAGTAAGAAGAAAATACTATTAAACTTGTCTTTGAAAACTAGCTCAACTGTAAACCTAGAAATTGGCCTGGAGGTGGAGGAGAGGACAATACAGAATGCGCTCGTGGCTTCGTGAGATTTTGAGTGGACTCCTCAGCTTAGCAGCAATTTAATACTTCAAAAGCCTCTAAATATTTCAGTAAAAGAACCCAGATGAGGAGTTAGAAAGATCCCAGGACTTAAAAGGAGAGGTTCATGGGCTTCCCTGGTGGCGCAGTAGTTGAGAGTCCGCCTGCCAATGTAGGGGACACGGGTTCATGCCCCAGTCCGGGAAGATCCCACACGCCGCAGAGCGGCTGGGCCCGTGAGCCATGGCCACTGAGCCTGCGCGTCCGGAACCTGTGCTCCGCAACGGGAGAGGCCACAACAGTGAGAGGCCCGCGTACCGCAAAAAAAAAAAGAGGTTCACAGAATTGTGTAATTTCACTATCTTTTCTACCACTTAACTCTTCTACCCATTGTAACCTGGTATCTGGTATTGTCTTGAATTATTCCACGAAAAATTCTGTAACTGAAGTCACCAATGACATCCATGTTGTTAATCCAAGGGACATTTTTAGTCTTTGTCTTAGTTAAACACTCTGCTCAACAATATATGACTGTGGACACACTCTCCTCCATGGCTCCCAGGTCTTCCCAGTGGATTTTCTCCTTCTTCTCTCTCCACTGTAGGCTTATTCTCCTCCTCCCAACCATGAACTATCAGATGCCCTCAAGGCCCAGGCCCGAGTCGTCTTCTCTCCTCACTCTATGCTGTCCTGCAGAAAGTGCTTCTCCATCTCCTGGTTTGTTTTTATTTAAAATATCTCCATCCTGCTCATTAAAATCACTTGCTGGGCTATGAAAATATATCAGTGCCTGGGACACATAGACAGAAATTCAGATTTAATTGGTCTGGGCTGGGACCCAGGTCTTAATATTAACCAAGTTCCTAGGTTGATTCTAAACAGCAGAAGGAGTTGAGAATCCCTGACTTTAGGAATCTCATCCATGCCCGCTACTGAAATTACCATCATTTGCCAGTAACACCTAAATTTATAACTTCCATATAAATATCAGAATTTCAGGCCCATATATATCTCAACTCACCAAGAGTATACTCTTAAATATTTCAAAGTTACTGCAAATGCAAATGTTCACAATTGAAAACTGAATTACTGCTCTTGCCTTTTCAACCATATACTTGAAAATTGGTCCCTCTTCCGGTGCTTCTTATCTCAGTGAGTGACATGACCAACAACCCAGCTATTAAAGCCAGAAACCCAGGCATCATCTTATAAACCTCCCTCTTGTTCCCATTTCCAAGATCCAGTATATTATCCAGTTCTTTCTGTTTTATCTTCCAAAGACATTTTTCCCCCTCTATTCCTACCACTTCTGTCTAAATCCAAGCAACTATCATCTCTTACCTGACCAAGGTAATGCCATCCTAATGGGTCTCCTCCAATCCATTCTCCATATTTCCAGTGATCTTTTTACTAAGCAAATGTCACCTAGTGATGTGGAAACCTTCAATGGCTTTTCATTGTACTTAGAATAACTCATAAATGTGGCCCACTGGGCCCTGCATGTCTGGCTCCAATCTTGTCCTCCATGACACCCCCCATAACTTTCTCAGCTACACCCACCCTGACTTTTCGGTTCATAGCACATGCCATGCTGTCTCTTGTCATAGAGTCTTTGAACATGCTGTTCCCTCTGGAACCCATCCCTCCTCTTTTCACCTAGTTAACTTTCATTCTTTCTTCAGCACTTAGCCGTCACTTCCTCAGAGAAGACTTCCCTCAGTGCCCAATAAGGAAAACTTGTCCCATTTATATTTATAGCATCATGCACCTCTCCTTCATTTGAAAATAATACATTAATTTGTGTAGATCATTTTGATTAATTTTTTTTTTTTTGCGGTATGCGGGCCTCTCACTGCTGTGGCCTCTCCCCTTGCGGAGCACAGGTTCCAGACGCGCAGGCTCAGCGGCCATGGCTCATGGGCCCAGCCGCTCCGCGGCATGTGGGATCTTCCCGGACCGGGGCACGAACCCGTGTCCCCTGCATTGGCAGGCGGACTCTCAATCACTGCGCCACCAGGGAAGTCCCATTTTGATTAATTTGCATGCATCTCTTATATCACTAGATTATTTGCTTCATGGAGGCAAAGCGGAGGTTTGTTTTTACACAAAGTATCTCTCCAGCACCTTAGCACAGACATGGCTTTTCATGCAGGAATGAGTTCCTAATCAATTTTCTCATCTGTTAAGTGGAGATAATTCCTGCCTTACGCATCTCACAGTACCACTATCGATCAAACTGTTCTTTGAATACTGCAAAGTGTCATAAGACTATTCCATTATTTATGATGACACTGCACAAATGAAACCATTAAATAGAAGTTCATGAAATAAAATTTCACCTACTTAACAAAATCTCTAATCCATATTCCTTGTAAAATTCCATTTAAAGGTACTCACACACTTGGGTTTAATGCTTCTGTCATAAATCTGGCCACCAAAGAGTAATAATCAAGTCCAGCATATAACTGGTTGAAAAATCTTGGATGGTCTGTAAATTGAAACAGAATATTAATCTACACAGCAGTAAAAAAGAAAGAAAACTATCGACAGAATAACATAAGTGACTCCTTCAGACAATGTAAGCAGCTGGATACAAGGAGTATACAATGCATGATTCCACTTATATGACGTTCAATATGGGGCAAAGCTGATCTGTGGAGACAGAGATTAGAATCCTGGGTACCTTTGGCAAGGAGATATTGATTAGGAAGGGGCTTGAGGGAGCCTCTGGAGTCCCAGGAATGGTGTATATCTTGCTCTGGGTGATGGTCACTTACACGCAGATATGCGCAAATTCACTGAGCTGAGCACCTGAGGTTTTCCACTTTCCTGAATGTAAATTATACCTCAATTAAAAAAAAGCATTTAAAATATTGTCATGTACAAGGGAAACAAATGTTGAAGACCCATTTCATAGCCCTGTCTACTGAACAATATGTTTCTAAGCAGAACTTGAGTACTCTTTTGAGAGCTTTGCTTTACCTGTTTCTTTTTAAATACAACCCAGACCCAAACCAGAACCTTGAGAGATGGATTATTTGAGCAGTTTGTCCACATATCAAAGCCTGCTGCTACCTTTACCTTCTAAAAATATCGATGTTAATTTCCCTAATTTAAACACATTTCACTCACCAACAGGGTTCACTTCAGGCTCCTGGCAGTGAGTGGCCTTTTAATTTTTCAGATTGGGCCATTTTTTATAGTGCAACTGGCATCGTGTTGATGGAGTACGACGTGACTCATCATGCAGCTTACATAAACTTTCTGATTCAATGCACTTCAAAGGCAGTTGCCTTTAAGGCTCGAAAACTTCAGTTCCAACTTTCTATTTTTTTCCCTCCTATAAAAGGTCTCATAAAGGTTCTTGGCTTTACACAGTGTGAATATTCACACCAAACCCCCGGCTAACGGCTGGCTTGACATTCTCAATCATAGGAAGCCCAGTGTGACAAAGAATAAAGAGGCAGGAGGCCTATTTCTAAATTTGGGTATTTGGGAATCATTTTAGTTAGTGACCTCTCATTGCAACTCACCACATTTAGTTTTGGGGTTTTTTCCTCTTGAAACCAGTTCAATGAAAAACAAAAGTCTCAGAAGAAAATGTCTTTTCGTATAAAACGTGGCAAACTTCCTCTATTCTGGCAAAGAAAACCAGACATCGCTACAAGTAATTTTAATAAGATTTTTTTTTAGTTCCGCGTTAATTTATGATTGATTTCCATGGTAACTTTATGGAAAGTATCCAGTAAACTGAAAAATCTACTGCATTAAATGTCATTCTACACTTCCGACATGCACTGTAATAATGAGATATGTATCTCTGCTTTTGAAATGCTAACTGGTTTTTTGATATATACACCAGACTTTCCCAAGGGAATATAAACCAATTATTTTTAGCCAGGATTTTATTATGTTCTTTCCACTAAATTTAGTTCGGTGTCAGAACTCACAAGGCATAATGTCTGTATGGTCTTAAGCACTAGATTACCTTTATATCACACTGAGAAATGCATATTTTGGAAAGTTATTCTTCTACTTGTGACACTTATTCACTGGGTATACAGGATATTAACAGTCAATTGGAATAGGACTTAAGCACAAGACAAATATCATGTTACTGCATTTACAAAAGATCACAGTGGTTAAGCATTATTGTGAAACTATCAGAGCAAAAACTCCCCATGCATTCATTTTCTTATACCTTCCGAAAGGTTTTTATCTTTTGATCCTGCTAGATTTGATCAAATAATTTGGTACTTGCCAACTGCCAAGAGTACTTTACAAATAAATCTATCCCTGTTTATAGTAAAGACACCCTCTTGAACATTTTGGGGGGCCATATTCTGGGTGATCAAGATTTAAAATCCCTTAACAACTTCTAAAATCAAAATACTGTTTATCAGTTTGGACCAACAAAAGAAATGATAAGTAGCAGTCATGATACTGCTACTTATCAGGAGGATGAGGATTGCTGAAGAGGAGATAATATTTACATATGACCACTAACCATCAGTTTTTCTATCAACCTACCTTTGGCCTTGACAAATCTATTTTACGGATTAGATGGACCATTGTCAAAACATCAGAACCACTATTTTTGATCCAGCTTTCTCATCCCATAAACAGTGCCCTAGTCGCCTTTACTGTGAGGTAAATACAGGCTTAAGAAAATGGAAGAACGTGTTAGAGGCACGGATCAAGGGAGTCAGTGAAGTTCTTACTGGTCTTGACGCTGTAGCGTATGACGTCCTGGCAGAGTTCCAACAGCCGGTGGTGTGGCTCTCCTGTGTCCCTCAGCTCCAAGTCGAGGAGCTGTTTCAGCTGTTCAGGGGGCCGCCACTCACAGACCTAGAGATTCGGCAATGGCACAGTTAACTGGGCACCTGCTAGAGCCAGGTGTGGAGAGGATGTCAGAAGCGTGGCCCCTACCCTTGTGAAGCTTCCAGACAAGTGAGAGAGAGAGAGATTTAACCTGCAGCCATAGTTCCCTGTGACCAGAGCTATGATGGTAAAGCAGATGTTGTTGGAACAAAGGAGGGACCCCATCTTACATTTGGGAAGATGTCCTGGAGGAACTGACATCTAAGTTGTGACATAAAATAAGAGTGGGATGAACCAAGCAAAGATTAAGGGATGGGGTCATGCAAGGGGCCCTCTAGGTGGGAGGAACAGCACAGGCAAAGCTGAGATATAAGGGCACCCACAGCCCTTCTGAAGAGTGAAGTCCGTTGGTGTGGCTTGAACACAGAGCCTGGGGGAGGGAGGGAGAAGTGAAGTTTGGCTCCCGGCATAACTCCTAACTTGTCTCTCTGCTTGTCCCCTGGCCCCATACAATCTACTCTCAACCAGGCAGCCAGAATCCAGAATGCTCCTCTTGTATATGAGCCACGGTCTCCCCTCTGCTCAAACACCTCTGATGGCTCCTCATTCTTTCAAAGTAAAAGCCTACGTCCTTATAATGACCTAAAACGATCCTGTACAACCTCCTTTCCTGGTGGCACTGCTTTCCTCCCAGCTGACTCCGCTCCCACAACCTGGCCTCCTTTCTGTTTCTTAAAAGACCAGGCACATTCTCACCTTTGGGTCTTTGCCCTCAGCCTGGAATGACCCCCCCCTCCAAATATCCTCATCACTAACTTCCTCACTTCATCCAAAACCCTTCTCAAATGTCACTTTCTCAATGACAGCAATCCTGAGTCCTTATTTAAAATCCCAGGCTGCACATTACCCCAGCTCTAGCAATTCCCCCCAACTGTTTCTTCTTTTCCTTCTTCCATAGCACCTGTCACCTTCCAGTGTGCTGCGTAATTCATTTATGATATCCTACACAATCTCCATGAGAGCAGACATATCAGTCACTTTGCTCACCGATCCCAAGTAACTAACATGGCCTGCCATAACAAGAGGTTATCAACAAAGATGTGTTGAATGAATGAATGAATGAAGAGATAAACAAGGCTCAGATTGTGACAGGCTTTGTGTGGCATGTCACAGAGTTTGAACATGGCTCTAGAAAAACTGTTATGTTTTGGACAGGGGGATTATATGATCATATTTGTGTTTTAGACAATAGCTTTGGTTGCTATATGGAGATTCCAAATAAAATTGGAAATAAGAGGTTACTCTAATAAACCAGGCAAGAGAAGGTAGTAGTCTGGATGAGGCTAGCTGCTTTGGGAATGAAGCATATCTGGAGATTTTGAAAATGCACCATCAATAGAACTGAGAAAGCTGTAGCACATCAAGGATGAGGGAGAGCAATGAGCCAAAGGCCATCCTGAGGTTTCCAGCTTGCACACGGGTTGATGGTGGATGGGGTGGGGTGGGGATGATGATTTTAGGGCACATTTAGTCCAAGGCACCTTCAGGACACCCAAAAGGGGTGTAGCAGTTGGACTGAAGCTCTTGTAAAAGATCAGGAACAGAGTTCCAGGCATCCATTATAATATGACACAGGTGACACAGCTCAGAGGGAACCTACAGGAAGAGGGGAAGGCGCAGGGTCTCACCTGGGCGGTGCCAACGCATGAGAAATGGTCAAAGGGAGAGGAGCTCAGTTGTGAGTTGGAGGACAAGCCAGGGAGGCAGGGAGAATCCCAGGAGAGTTTTGTGCTACTAAACAAAGGAAGAAGGATGCTTGAAGGAGGAGACGGTCATCACTGTCAAATCCTGCTGAGAAGCCGACTTAGACAAAGCCTGAGAAGTGCTCCTGTGATTTATCGACAAGGAGGTGTCCTTGGCAAGAGCATTTGACTAAGGGAGGTGGGAGTGGAGGCCAGATTGTGTGAAGTGAGGATGTAGGAGGTGAGGAAGTAGAGGGAGGGGGGCAGTGTTGACAATCTTTAAAAAGTTTCGCTGTGGAGGGGAGGAGAGAGACAGGGGGGCCTCCAGGGAATAAAGACCAGCATGTGGGAGGCTGGGGAAAGCAAGAGGAAATACCAAGTCATGCGAGAGGTATGAAATCAAACTCTCAGCTTAGAACCAAAATGGGCAGAAGTAAATCAAATGGGCTGAGCCCATCAAAAGGAAGGACTATGGGTTCATGTAACGTGGATGAATCTCCAGCACATTTTGCTGAGAGAAAATAGCAAGACTCCAAAGGCTACTTGTGATATGATTCCATCTACCTTACCTTCGGAAAAGGCAAAAACCACAAGGACAAAAACAAAAAACAAAAAACCCACAGATCAGTGATTACCAGGGGCTAGAGGTGAGGGGAGCGGTTGACTATGGAGGGGCACGGGGAAATAAGGGGGGTGATGGACCTTAATCTGTATCTTAATTCTGTTCATGGTTACAAGACTTGTCAAAACTCATAGAACTGCACACCAAAAGGAATACATTTGACTGAATGTAAATTACAGCCCAATTAAAAAACAAACAAACAAACAAACAAACAAAAAAAAGTGGCTGATAAAAAGTGTCTATCAAAGAGGGTGCTAGTAATAATCATCTATGTGTGGGGACCCATCCTATCCTCAGGTCACCTTTGAAAGGGGACTTGTTGAATCTCTGACCAAGTAGGCTAAGTCAGCAGCATAAAATCCTCACCTCCCTCTCCCAACCTCAACATAACTTTCAAGCCAGCTTCATATGGATGCATGTCTACTATACTGCAATGGGCTTGGGGTTGCTTAATGGACAACTTAGGGTCTTAAGCCTACCCTTCTCATCCTACCTCCCATTAGGGCCCTGTATGAGCCCTTCTTTCTAGATGAAGGGTCCTCTTAGTGTATTAAATACCTTATCCTATTACAACTCTCTCTCTATCATTTACCTCCCGCTTTCTTCAACACACCTGTGCTGACTTCTCTCTGTCCATCAAAACCTTACTTCACCTTCAGACTCTGCATCAAAGTTCAAGGTGCCCACTCCTCAGTGAAATCCCCAAACTCTGCCCAAATCACGCAGCATTTATCACATTCTTATTGGGATCCCCTGTTCTCTATCCCAACAAAAACTTGTTCTCCCAATGAGATTAAAATTCTGTTCAAAGCTGAACCTTTTTCTTACTTTTCTTAATATCCCCCAGGCCCAAATGTAATGCTTTACCCTTAGCTAACACTCAGTTAATATTTAATGACTGAATAAAGGCCGATATAAACAAAGTTCCAGGGGAGTAGTTTACTCCAAAGTAAAGCAGGTCCAAAATATTCCCCAAGTACAAAGAAGACAGGAAAATATGCAATTATAAGTACATATCAGGAAACACTTCCAGTGACTTTGCCTTGAATTTAACCATTCCAAGATCATGGGTCATTTCTATTTTCCTATTAGTTTTCCCGAACGCATGTTACCAAAAATTCAGCATACCACTTCACATTCAAAATTATTTTTTTAAATGACATTTATTTCTCCTGATAAAATTGAAATGAAAATCTCTCCCTCCATTTCCTGATAATCTGATTCCAGTATGAAAGGTGATCAATGTGAGAGAGGTTAATTTTGAGATTTTAAGAGACGTATGGAGGAATCATTAAAAGCACAAACTCTGGGCTTCCCTGGTGGCGCAGTGGTTGAGAGTCTGCCTGCTGATGCAGGGGACACGGGCTCTTGCCCCGGTCCGGGAAGACCCCACATGCCACGGAGCGGCTGGGCCCGTGAGCCATGGCTGCTGAGCCTGCGCGTCCGGAGCCTGTGCTCCGCAATGGGAGAGGCCACAGCAGTGAGAGGCCCGAGTACCGCAAAAAAAAAAAAAAAAGCACAAACTCTGAAGCCAGCCTGCCTGGAGTTTAGTATCAGCTCTGAGACTTGCTAGCATGTACTTTGGGGCAACGTACTTGACCTCTTGTGCCACATTTTTTCCCTTGTCTCTAAAATGGAGTTAATAAATAGCACCTGCATCTTAGGGGTCTTTAATGATTAACTACACAAACACATGGATTAAATACACAAATGCGTATGGAATAGTTCTTAGAATATCACCTGGCACGTAGTAAGTACTGTTAAGAATAGATGTTATTAGTGGTACTTCCAATATCAATTTGCATCTGAATTTGGGTCTGAATTTGAAACCTAGAACCAGTCATTGGTACCAGTCAGAAGTCAGACTTCACAACCCAAGATTTCTAGTCTGAGCTCAGACAAGGTCCTGGTAAAGACCCTCAGATAAATTTTTAAACTTTTCACACTTTTTCTACCTTCTGCTTGGTTTTCCCTAGTAACATAAAGAATATGCGCAAGAAAATGGAAAGCAGAGTGTGCTTTGGAGAGTGTAGAAAGCAGATCATTGGGTGGTTTATAACCTATATTGTTATCTGGGGTGAAAGCTTCATCCTGTGCTTCACAGCCTTACCTGGTTAAACTCTGGGTCTCAGCCAATTTCCTGACACATGCTGGGTGGCAAAGTAAAAGTCAACCCTCCCAGGAAAACAGAGACTGGGTGGGGTTCTGGAGGCGGGGATGGGGTGGGGAGTAGATACAAACTTTGGTATCTGGGCATCCCCTTGAAACAAAGGTATAGAGGAAATGAAAGCATGATTCCCATTTCCCTTACGTCTAGCCAGCCAGGTTTGGTTAAAACCTATCTTTCGCATTCTTAGCGTTCCTTATAGGTTTTTATATTTACCTTCTCATTGATGTCTGTAGCCTTCAAAACCACCTCTTCCATTATTAGTCTACAGGCCTCTTCGACAAATTTTTCTCCTGCTTTTGCATCTGTTGTGGGGCCATTCAGTATGACTCCATCCACGAAAACAGTGTTCTTCCTGCTGGGAACCATCTCTTGTGGATCGATATCTCCTGGAAGCACACAATCAAACCATGTTTGAGAGATAATCTAATTCGAGCACAGAACAAAACACAGGGGAAATGGCTCACCGTCCCACCTTCAAAGGGCATACCTTCTTTTAATACATTTGAGGCATTGAAGCTGACAGCTTCTTATGGTGCCCAATGGCATGACAGAGTTAAAGAAAGAAAGTTCCATTTTCCATTCCTGCAGCATCTTGTTTAGCATCAGGGAGCGTGGAGGAGCTCAAGCAACATAAATTCAACCCATTTTACTCACTCATACAAACATCTTTCAGACACATGTACAAAAAGATCTTTGTAAACACAAGCCCATGTCTAGTTCGTGGGCACACACTCTCTTGTAATTTAAGGATGACCATACCTTTCCTTTTCATAAGTGATTCCTAAAGAAGAAGAAGTAATGTCAACATGCCTTTTCTCTTAACTTTACGTTTTAAGCCTGTGATTAAATGCCCTTCTGCCTTGTCTATGAAACCCCTCGTTAAACCCACTCGGCCATTTCCTACTGAGAGAAGGAGAAAAGAATGTGAGCAGTGTCGCAATTCCTGTAAACCCATATTTATAACACCTTTAAACTTTTCAAACTTGCAATTTAGGCAGAAGGATGGAGCAGGACATTTTCAGGACTGGACAGTTGCCAGTCAGTGACTAAAGGTTAAAAGTCAACATGGAAATCTATATCTGAGAATAAAGGTTACTGCCTACCCAAAATAGCCCTCCTCCAAAATAATTCTGGCAACTTAATCCAGATATTCAACCAATATCTGCCTCAAGCTCTGACTCGACTGTGTTCTCTTTTTCTGATCACTATCCCTTTCCTCCTTATAATGTATATGTTCACTGAGTTGTGGAAATTTACAGAAACAATTTTTAAAAGTATTTTTCAGCACCTCAGCTAGCACAGCACCTCACTTATTCTTTGTAAATACACCTTAAATATGCTGATGGTCTGTATTTCAAACATTTTTATACTTATTGAGGGTTCTAACTGTATTAACAGTTATTATACCCTGGAGCCCATCTTCTCCTCGCAGTTAAATGTTTGGTACAATTCCGTGGTTTCCTAAACCCTTTAATTCTATGACTGGCAAACTCAAATGGTGTCCACGAAGACAGATAAAAATGTCACCAGAAGATTCCCCAATTTGAGAAAGATAGAATCTGTAGCAAAGGATCAATCTTTTATCCTCACACCCAAGGGTAAACCATTCAGAGCTCCCACGATGAATTTCAGTTCCATCCTTCACTTTCACTTATGTTTCACTTGAAAAGATGTATTTGACTTGGTTTAGGACAAATGGTGAAGCCCTGGAGTTGAGCTTTTGGATGGAAATGCTCTACACCTAAAGGCACTTTCCTCCCCCCAAATTTTAGGTCGTAAAAATAAATTGGAAAAGAGGGCAATTATTCAGGGAACCCTGTTTATGTAAGTGGGCAGTGCTATTATTAAGCACATGGAAAAAGTTCAATTTTTTTCTAACCTCATTAGTAGGATTTCAGGTTTTTATTGCCCAGGGAATAGCAACCACTCTGTAGGCCTCTCAGAGTTTCCCTCTCTCTCTCTCTCTCTCTCTAACACACACACACACACAAATGTCAAACACCCACTTGAAACCAGAATAGCAGAGAAATTGAAATTAAAATTGTCTGTTTCTCCACAGCCATCAATTACAGAAATCGCCTATAATTCAAACAATTATATAGGAGAAAATATTACTTTAAAAAAACTAAATAGAATTGGGTATAAAGTATGCGTCTTTTCTTGATAGATATGTTTTATTTCTATTACCAGATGTGATCATGTCGCTCTTTCCCCACTACATTTGCCCAACTGGAAAAGACCCTCCGGAGATTGAACAGTCAGTCAAGCTGTGATCTTCTGGGGATGCACACCCAGGACCTCCCATCTAACTGCTAGAGTTGATAGCGGTAAATAATGAAATTGTTCAATGGGAGGAGTGTTCCATGAAGAATATACCCAGAATCTGTCTGCTCTTCATTCCCCGCTCCCTTATCACCATCAAACACTTGGGTTAGCCTTTCAACTAACCCTCGGCTGCCACCCTGCCCTATGTACCGTGTAGACAATTCTCAACATAGTAGCTCCTATGTGTCTTTGAAAAGATGGCACATCACATGATGACTCCTCTATTCAAACCATTCAATGACCCCTTATCTCAACAAATTAAAAGTCAAAGTCCTAATAATGACCTCTAAGGCTTTAAATGAACTCCTCCCCCATTATCTCTTGGAACTCAAACCTCATCTCTTATTCCTGCCCTCAAAGCTCACCATGTTTCACCCACCTTCTCCTCTTCACTCTTCCTCGACTCTTTTCTTAAACACCAGCTTCTCAGCGAGGTGTCCCCGATGACCCCATTTCACACTGCACCACTCCCCTCCCCCACCTTCTTTCTCTGCTTTATTTGACTCAAGAGCAGTGACATACAATTCTTATTAATTTACTTGTTTAAATATTGTCTCTGCAACAGAGGTTTTGCTCTATGGGAACATGAGCTTGTGTCTGTTCCACAGCACCCAGAATGTGCCTGGCAGTTTGCAGGAGTTCCATAAACATTTGTTGGCTATTAAACTTAAAAAGCCCGGGACCCTGGTTCCCTCCACCATTCAGTGATCATGTCCCTTCCTCTGAGGTGCCATCACAGGTTGCCAGCCCTAAGCGAGGAGGAAACACCTTCGCTGGAATAGGGCAGACATGGAACTCCATTCATGGGCTAGAGAAGGGGCAGCAGGGGCTGCAAGAAGGACCTGGAGAACAGGGTCAACAAGGCAAAACTGAGTTTGCAGTCTGGGTTATCAAAAGAAACAGTTGGTGAGAGGCTCTCACTTTCCTCCCTGAGCTGTTCTTTTCACCAAGGCCACTCCTACTCTCTCTTTTCCCTCCTTCCCTTTTTTGTAGTGATATGACTTCTGAAAGTCAGTCCATAACAAATCTCATTCCAGGAACCGCAATTCCAAGCGTGGAAGCCAGTCAATCCTGAAACACTCCAACTTCTGAATTTCCACCAATTCCTCAACTCCATACTTTCCAAACCCTTATCTATATAAGCTCAACTTCTGTTTTGTTTAAAGAGATGCCCAGCTCTGCCTTGCTGAACAAACAATAAATTCAGCTTCAAATATTGTTTCAGAGATTCAGTCATGGCCTCTTTCATTGACATAGGAGTAAATGAATTAATACAGACGAAGACCTAAAACAATGCCTGGTGTGTAGTGGGCACTCAATAAATGTTAGAAATATTAGCTAACTCAGTAAGTGTAAGTTAATAGTAGTAGGCAGTCAAGACTATTTATTTATTTCTTTTATTTTTTTTTTCGCGGTATGCGGGCCTCTCACTGACGCGGCCCCACCCACACCCCCGCCGCGGAGCACAGGCTCCAGACGTGCAGGCCCAGCGGCCATGGCTCACGGGCCTGGCTGCTCCGCAGCACGTGGGATCCTCCCGGACCTGGGCACGAACCCGCGCCCCCGGCATCGGCAGGCGGAATCCCAACCACTGTGCCACCAGGGAAGCCCAAGACTATTTATTAAATACATAAACAAACAGGAGTAAATTACATGTGACAGTAAGCAATGACAGTAGAAAGGGAGATCTCAGAGTAATCAGATGCTCAGGGTAATGAACTCTAAAGTGGCTGGTGAGTTATCCCCTGGAAGAATGGGAAGACGAAGGCTCAGTGGGAAGGGACTGTCCTTATGAAGAGAGTTGAACTTCTGGCAACAGCCAAGCAGTTCAGCCCACATGGGGTGGGCAGCTGTCCAGACTTCCCACCTTGCACCGTGGTTATCTGTGTAGAGGTTTTATTTCTTGCACCAGATTGTAAACGCCTACAGAAGGGATCCATGTCTCAATTTTCTGGACATTCCAGAAAACCGTTCAGCCGTTGGCATTCGTAGGCACTCAGCAACTCTCTGAGGACTGGCTGAATGTATTGTTATCCTGGAGGTCATCTTATCTAACCCTTTCATACAGTCCCCCAAATCCCCTCCCCAACCCAGTGGCTGATACAACAGGAGAGCTGAGTTCTAGTCTCTCAGGTTCTTTGATCCTGGAATAATATATCCTCTCTGTGCTTCAGTTTCCTCATCTATAAAATAGGAGATAACCCGAGGAAAGTGCTGGGCTGGCTGCACTCTCACTTACACTAACAGTACTGAAATATACTAACATTGCAGGTGGGTTTAGGGACCACTGTTCTGGTTGACCTCTAAGATGCTTCCAGAATCTTAACATCTTCGTTTGCCTGGCTTCCTTCTTATCCTTTAATAATTATGTTTTTCATTTCAACAAACGTGTTACTCACCTACCATGTGCCACACAGCAGGTGGGGGCTAAAGACAGGAATTGGATCATCTCCTTGAGGATCTCAAAGTCTCTTTGGGGAGTTAGGTGCTGGAAATTTACAAGAATAAAAGACATGTGGGGTAGGCTCTGTTCTAAAAATTTTATAGATTTAGCAAATTTAGTTGTCACAAAATTTCCAGTTAGTTACTCAGTTTTATAGTTGAGGAAGCTGAGACACAGAGGGTTTAATTGGCTTGCCCAGGGTCACAGAGCTGGTAAGTAGTGAAACTGGGGTAAATAATATAATATATTGAAGTTCTACAAAGGAGCAATGAGATACTGCTCTATGGGCATCTACAGTTTGCAAGGCAGTGTTAGAGAGTTAGTAATGACAGCAAGATGAATTAGACTCGGTGCCTGTCCTCGGTAATTGAGAGCCTCAGAGTTTGAATAATGCAATAGAATATAAAGGGTGTCAAGTGCCATGAGAAGGATACCAATAAAATGTTTTGAATGTAAGCAATGTAGACATTTAGGGTTAAGGCTTAGGGTTATAGGAGAAGTTGAGGTATCAGAGAAGGCTTCTGAATTGGAAGACCTGTCTTCTCTTTAAATATCTGCAGTAAGAAATAATAATAATTTTAAAACCTCATTACAAAGTTATAATTTTAAAACC